TCCCTCCCTTACCACCGCCGGCTTGAGCCCAAACGCCGACACCAGCCCGTCCACTGCATCCGACAGCACCCCCGCCCGCCGCGCGCCGCCACCTCCGGCCTGCCCCAGAAGCGAAACCACCGCATCCGACGCCGCCCTCGCCGATTTCTCAGCCGCCACCGCCACGGCCGCCGCCGCCCCAGCGGAGGGTCGCGGAAGTTCTAGAGAGAGGGCCATCTCTACGCCACGCAGGAAACCGCCGGTTGGGGTTCCCGCTAAGGCGGCGCCGTCTTCATCTGCCCCGCCGCCGCTGCCGCCGGCACCTCTGCCGAACCCTGCTCGGGGGGGTGGTTGACCGTTGTCTCTTGATTTGCAAGTGGGTGTCGTAGGAGCACTACACCGACTGTTGTTTGTGAAGGTCGTTTCGGCAAGCTTGTTTAGGTCTTAAGCACGTACACGAGAGCCGATACAAGCCTTCTTGTGCTGCCGCTGCAGCTACGGTAGAATCCTCCGGGGTCTTAAGGGGGGGGGTGTACGTGAGAACAATACACGAAACTGCGATTTGTACAGCAGTATGCAACTACCGCCGAAGAACATTACATTTCGCACCGCCAACTCCAGGGAGGAAAGGCAAGGTCGTACTTTTCTTCCCGCAACAATACAACAAAACACGAGCAACGAGGGTTTGCTGCGTATGCAAAGGAGCTACCTCCCCAGATTCCATCGAACTCCGGCGGCGTTGCGATAACGCCTCACACAAGCATCAAAACAAAAAACGCAAAAGCAAAAATCGCAACACACGCGAGCAGCAGCCGCACTTGTACACGTTCTTATTACAAGGCGAGCGCAACACAGGGTCTCACCATTTCGACTACTGCCTCCGCCGCCAATGCCTGCCCCGCCGCTGATGCTGCGGCTCAGGCTAAAGGCGCCCATGCCGCGACCCCCGTCGGGTGAGGAGGAATTGTTGTCTGCCCTCCCTCCCACGGCGTACATGTGCTTGGCCTGCTTATGAATTGTTGGGGGGGTGGATTGACACGTGCAAGCGTACAGCA